GGTGAAACACTGTCTCTACTAAAAATACAAAAATTAGCTGGGCATGGTTGCTCATGCCTGTAGTCCCAGCTACTCGGGAGGCTGAGGCAGGAGATTCACTTGAACCCTGGAGGTGGAGGTTGCAGTGAACTAACACCACTGTGTTATATTGGCGTTCAGGGGTTCAAGGTGCCCTCAGCTTCCCTGAGAGGACTTTTTCCAGGTTCTTGGTCTCCTGCCCTCTCAAGAATGAGAGAGGGGAACACGGTGCAGTGCGCAGTAAATGCCAGACTCAAAAGTGTTTGTATAAAGTGATTTATTTATTTATTTAGAGAGAAACTGGAGGAGAGAGAAAGAAATAGTTAATTCTCTCACTGAGTGAAAGAATTCAGAAAGATGGAATCCAGGAGAGGAAAGCAGCTTCCACACTGAGTGGAAGGGAACAGAGAGATGGAGTTTAGGAGGGGAAGACGGGCTTCCATGAGAGAGTGGGGAAGGGGTCTTCAGAGAGGAAATCCAGGAGACAGAAAGAAACATGGCTTCCATGAAGGGAGTGTTCATGGAAGGGGACCTGAAAATGGAGTCTGAAGGGGTGTGGAAGAAGGGGATTTTTAATCTGGGAAGAACCCCCTTCTCTAAGACCCCTGGCCAATGAAAGGAGTTCCTTTGAACTTTCGCTGGAGTGATTGACCCTTAGTTTCTTCCTGCGCCTGTGAAATTTAAACATAAACCGTTAAATCTCCAGATGGAGAGAGATGGGAGGGGGGCAGGGAGCTGGGAAGTTCTTGCCTTTAAAACTATGCCCCCTTGTGGACCCTGAAGGAGAACACCTTTCCTCAACTGCACTACAGCCTGGGTGACAGAGTGAGACTCTGTCTCAAAAACAAAACAAAACAAAAAAACACACACTAAGTCATATTAGAATTATAGGAGTTTCCCAGAATTTTGGAACACATACCAATAACATGTATACGAATATAGCCCAAAGGAAACCAAACACCATTTCATATTTAACAATGCTTCTTATATGATTTCTACAGTGAGTAAACCAAATATGTTTCTTTTGGACTTCAGGGGAATAATAGCAAAAAACTAATGAGGACCCAAGTTAGAATTTGACTTTGGAAAGTATGTCAAATATAAAAAGTTTAAAATGCTTAATATTGGCCGGGCACAGTGGCACACACCTGTAATCCCAGCAGTTTGGGAGGCTGAGGTGGGCAGATCATGAGGTCAAGAGATCGAGACCATCCTGGCCAACATGGTGAAACCCCGTCTCTCCTAAAAATACAGAATATAGCTGGGTGTGGTGCCGCGTGCCTGTAGTCCCAGCTACTTGGGAGGCTGAGGCCGGAGAATTGCTTGAACCTGCAAGGCGGAGGTTGCAGTGAGCTGAGATCATGCCACTGTGCTCCAGCTTAGGTGACAGAGCGAGACTCCATCTCAAAAAAAAAGAAAAAAAAATGTTTACTTTGCAAAGACAAAACTTTTTTACTTCATAAAATTTTCATGCCAGCTTTCTCTACTGTATTTATTTTAAATAGCTTTGCTTGCTGATTGGGCAAAGGCAATTTTCTAGGCTGGTAAATGCTGTGCCTACATCAAATTAGCTGTTAAAAATCAAATTATATGATTCAACTATTATGATTGCATGTTTAGAAGTAGAATATTAAGTTATTAAGTAACTTATTTTTACTACCAAAAATAGTTCAGAAGAGAAGTAATTGAAATAAAGTCATTATTGTACCACTCTAGGCCCTAGATTTTAAATATCAGTGTTTCTAATATTAACCTAGAGATTAATACCATGCATGTTTCAGTATTATGGATAGGATATGGGAGCTGCAGTGAGACATCTTTCAAAACTTGTAAATAATATTGCCCTTTGAGTGTTGAACCATGAAATCGACCCAGAGTGAGGGATGTCCTGATTGATCCTAGTAAGCATTTTACCTATAGAAAAGTGTCTTTAATCTATATTTATACTTACAAAAAATAGTTTACTTATAGAAAGCAATTAATAGGCAAAGCCAAGAAGTATTAGCACACTTAAAGACAAGATTTAGATTTACCTAAAGAAAAACAAAATGAAAACTCATATCCAGAAGATACGCTGTATGGTAAAAAGAAGAGGATGTACACTAGCTACTTCTAATGGAAGACATCTTGGCTAATGGACTTCCCCTTAGAGAAGTCTGAGGCCGATTTTCTAAAACCTGGCGGAGAATTTTTCAAGTAAAGGAGGCTGGAAAATAAGAGACACTAGGTAGCTAGAAGAGGCTTGGAGCAGAGAGGGAGGCAGCAGGGAAAGTTTGGAGAAAACAGGACTTGTGGGTATCTAAACTGCCGAAGATACGGAAGGGAGTGAGAGAACTGAGCCAGAAGAGGAAAGCAGAAATAGATGCAGCCTAACCAAGTTCTTTGTGTGATTCTAAAGAGCGTTAGCAGACAAGCTGATAGTGTTATGAGTAAGTGCTATGTAAGTATTAACTATCATTATATTGCTGATAGTTTTACATTCTTTCTCACTTGACATTGAATTCTAAGCACATTCCATGTAATCAAAAATTTTTCAGAAACCGTTTTTAAAGTTAAATGGCTGCATGATATATAATGCATGATATTTAGCAATTCCATCATTAGAAACTTAAGGTACTTTCATTTCTCGGTATTTTTTATTTTATTTTATTTTATTATTATTTTTTGAGATGGAGTCTCGCTCTTGTTGCCCAGGCTGCAGTGCAATGGCATGATCTCAGCTCACCACAACCTCCGCCTACTGGGTTCAAGTGATTCTCCTGCCTCAGCCTCCTGAGTAGCTGGAATTACAGGTTTCCACCACCATGCCTAGCTAATTTTTTGTATTTTTAGTGGAGACAGGGTTTCACTATGTTGATCAGGCTAGTCTCAAACTCCTGACCTCAGGAGATCCACCTGCCTCGGCCTCCCAAAGTGCTGGGATTAGACTTGAGTCACTGCACCTGGCCTCGTCTCTTCATATTTAAAATAACTAGTGAAGACGTCTGTAAGTTTTAGATCTTATCTTTGATGGTTTCCTTGGGAATTTCTTGTTAAAGTGGAATTACAGGTTAGGAACATTTGACACTTTATGCACCAATTTACACTCGTACCATGCTACACCATTGACCAAGAAAAATTACTTTTTATCCTCACCTAATTGGGAGATGAAAAATGGTTTCTCACCTTTCAAATTTATATTTCTTCCTGACTAGCAAGATTAAAATCTTTTCATATTTATTAGCCATTTTATCTTTTCTGTCACTTTCTTTACCCACTAAAAGGTGTTACTGTCCTACATGTTGATTTGTAAGATCTTTACATGTTAGACATGCATCATATGTTCTAAACATTTTTTGCTAGTTGTTCTTCAATCTTTTTTGCTACCCAGTTTTAAAGTTTTCTATCTTATCCTTTAATTCATTAATAAACTAATATTTATTGAACAACTATGCGAAAGGCATTTTTTATAGACACATCATTAATAAACAAAATAGTCAAAAATTCTTTGGAATGTGGTACTTAAATTTTAGTGAGGGGAGATAGCCCATAACTGATAAGCATGAAAAATAGGTAAAATTATATTAGTAAATAAGTGCTTTGGGGGAAAAAAAATGGAGGGCAGAAGGGGTTGGAGTTTTAGGGTATGGAGGCTGCAATTTTAAATAATATTTTGGTTTGGGTAGGTCTTACGAGTACCTACCAAAAGTCAAAAGAAGATGACTTTTGAAGGACTTGGAAAAAGAGAGTGACTGCGCAGATTATTTGGAGGAATAACATAGTAGACACACTGAACAGCCATTGCAAAGGTTCTACGGGCTGGAACATGCCTGAAATGTTTAATCAAAGAGGTTGGAGTGAACCAAAGAATGAAGTACAAAAAGATGAAGTCAGAGAGATTAATGGTGTGTGTATGAAATCACAGAGGCCACTGTAAGACCTGGGTGAATGGAGGGTTCTGGACAGAGGGCATGATTCAACTTGTCTTTTAAAGGATTGCTCTTTGAATGTTGTGCTGAAAACAGAATAGTGCTAGCAATGAGAAGTGGTCTAATTCTGGATGTATTTTAAAAGTACAGTCAACAAGGATTGCTGATGGACTAGATGTAGGGTTTGAGAGAAAAGAGAGGAATCAAGGACCAGAGGTTTTTGGCCACTAGACTGTGGATTTAGCAACATGAAGGTAATTAGCAATGGTGACAACATGAAGGTAATTAGCAATGGTGACGTTTTGCAAGGAGTCACAAAGAATGGTTTCCTGGAAGCCAAGGAAAGAACTGGATCAACTGCTGCTAAGAGATCAAATAAGATGAGAATGAACTGGACTGAGGATTTAGCAACATGGAGGTCATTAGTAATGTCTTTGATTTCTTCCACTGTTTTTTACATATTTAATTTCTATTGGTGAAATGATACATTATTTCTACAATCATTCAACTTTCCTAACACTATTCATTGAATAGTCCATTTATTGCTATGTTTGTTTAGACTACTTCCGATCAACAAAGATCCATATTCTTTCACCTTTGCTCATTATATGGAGAGAGTGAATGGGACTGTGGCACACTGTGTCCTTATAATAAACCACATCTAAGTTGGTTATAATGTCAAAGCCTTAAGATTGTGCAAGTCATTATTGGCTTTAATGTAGTTTATTTACATTATGCATAGGAGAGGGACATTCACACTTTTATTAAGTCACTCAGAAATTGTTGCCTTCTTATCAAATGTGTAGTTATTTTCCTCATAGAAGCGTGGAGAAAGAAAGGTAAGCATGGAAATCAAATTTTTTGTTTCTGTTACTAAATTATTTCCCTTATTTGACTTTTAGAGGAAATATTCAAAAACCACTTCAAAATAATTCAGTTTTCATTCATCCACATAGCATTTTCAGAACATATTTTCAATATTGCTACAAAAATTATTTTTAAATGCAAATTTTTAAGTGAAATTTGATGCCATAATTTCAAATAATTATTTCATTTTGTTTTGTGTATCTGCAGGCAAGTGAAATGGAAAAACCAAAGCCCTCAATTCAAATGCAGCATCACATACAACAAATGAAACATACTATGAAGCTGATGATATAATTCAAGAAAAAAACAACGGATGCAACACAAATCCACGTTGCTTATTAACTAAAAATTCTGTGTTTTAAATACTTGCTGGAGAGATGGGGCAATAAAATAAAGAGTACATTTGAAACAGTTTGTAATATTGCTTTTCAAAAACTTGTCACTCACAAAGCAAGACACAGCTGCATTTTTGATCAGTTACTTTATTAAACACACATTAAGGTTTTCATAGGTTTTCCTTTGTATAAATTTACTTGTATTTGCTAATTAACATGTTTCTGTATCACATGAGATTATGCTAATTCTTCAGGAGAAATTAAATAAATTATCAATAACAAAATAAGCAATCCTATCTCAGTGAAGAACAATGAAAAATTTATGTTGCATTACCAGCATTTCTCAACTTTTTGATACTTACAGGCAGTTATTTTTTTGAGATGGTACTGGGTAGGTAAATTTCAGGGGGAACTAACTGTCTTATAAACTAGAAGTGACATGTTCTTAAATCTCTTAGAAGTCAACCCATATCTTTTTAGATTTTTCTGGGCACAAACAATATATTCAGTAACAAAAAATCACAAATGTGTAATCTGTACAATATTTTGTTTCAAGGGATAAGTATAACAAAAAATCCTTTGCTAATACATTTCCTAAATAATCTGTATAATGAAAGCTACAAAACAAATGAGTTCTCTGGTCCCACCTAATGCTATCATATTAATATGACCTAGAAATCTAGAAATAAAACTAATTTCTGCAAATTATAATTTTTAAATATTTTTATTCATAAATGTATTTTCTATTATAACACAGACATGGTTTTGTAATAGAATTCAACAGAAAAAAAAAGGAATAATTTTAAGCAGCTCTACTAAGCATATCTACTATGTCCTGTAATGTTCTGTAGTCAGAAAACTAGCACTTTAGAAAAGATCTGGCACATTAAGGGTGGTATGGCCATAGGCAAACACTAGCATTTCAAAATGTGCTGAATACAGCTTCTCTGATCTGATATATAAAAAAGAATGCCTTATTTTTCTTGGGCATGCAAAGCTCAGGGTTAGAAACTTTTCATCATTAGCCTGTCAAAATTTCTGCCAAGAACTATGGTTATCTTCTAGACCAGAACTAAGAGAAGTTTCTGTGATGACAGAAATATTTTATATCTGCACTGTCTAATATGATAGCCACCAGCCACATGTGGCTACTGAGCACTTAAAATGTGGCTAATGCAGCTGAAAAAAAAATTGTTTTTCATTTATTTAATTAAATAACCCCATGTGGCAATATTGGCACCATAGTCCAGATCACTATTTCAACATCCTACTGCCGGAGTTGAACTTTACATTCCAGAAGACAATTTTGCCAATGTTTAAATATTAAAATTGCTTAAAATATACGTTAAGTTTGAAAATTAAGATATTTCCATTATAAAAATGACATTTTACATGGTCATAAAAGCAAAGAATTTTCAGTTATTTTTTGTGAAAGTTCATAACTCTTATGGGTACTTTTTGATCTTTTATACAACTTGGAATTTTAAAGAATCCCAGAAAATCTGCTATCTTGACATACAGTAATTTAATAATATTACTATATTTCTCAGGTGAAAATCTAGGTTGAGAAAAATTTAGTTAAGGCATTGGTACTGTTCTACTTCTGTTGCTCAAGGGCAAGAACTATAAATGGCACAAGAAGCAGGAAACAGACAGAGCTAGCAAAATGCTCACTGCTCCTGACTCCTCCCAACTTGTGGGAAAGGCATAGTGGAGCCAAGAATAACTGGATGCATCATGGGCTGTGCTCTAGGAGAGGCACCCCAATTCTCTGCCACTCTACATATTTTTAGAGGGGTTGAAAGGAGATAATTGAGGTCAGAAGACTCTGGCCTTCACAACTGGGGCTATTGTCACACTGGCATAAAAAACCTATTGTTTCTTGGGCGCCCAACATCCAGGAAGTTTTGGTCTCAGCACTAGGATCAGCTGCAGTCCTTGAAGCACTCCTTGCTGAGCTAGCTTTTCACTAGGTGACCTGAGGTAGAACAGGGCTCATCCAGTGGACCAACTGGCATGTCTCTCTGTAACTCTGAAGCAGTTGTGCTTCACAGGGTAACTCAATCTTAAAATCAAGGGGTCTTATTAAATTACAGCACATTCTGTAAACTGAAAACTGTATTCTGAATGATTTATTTGGACTTAACAAATATTAAAATAGTGGTAGAATTTAAGCCAGTCAAAAATAACCTAAAATACAATTAAGAACAAAACACATCTCAAAGTATGTACATGTACATATAACTCTGCGGATGGGTTTAATAATACAGTAACTTTACATGTTTTTAGATGATTTACTGTGTAATTTTGGTAATGAGACCTTAGAAAGAAATGTAAGTCTAATAGCAGAGCCTAAAATAATCAAATTATATTTTATGTAGCCTTCCAATGAAAGCAATTTCATCTCTTAAAAATGGTGGCATTAATTGGATTACAAAATGGATAAAACAAAACCCCAGTAAGTCATTTCCTTCCTTAAATTTTTTTTTTTTTTTTAGATGTAGTCTTGCTCTGTTGCCCAGGCTGGAGTGCAGTGGTGTGATCTTGGCTTACTGCAACCTACACCTCCTGGGTTCAAACAATTTTCCTGCCTCAGCCTCCGGAGTAGCTGGGAGAACAGGTACCTGTCAACACGCCTGGTTAATTTTTGTATTTTTAGCAGAGATGGGGTTTTGCCAAGTTGGCCAGGCTAGTGTTGAACTCCTGACCTCAAGTGATCTACCCACCTCAGCCTCCCAAAGTGCTGGGATTACAAGCGTGAACCACTGCACCCGGCCCCCCTTAAAACTCTTTAATGGTATCTCATTGCTTATAGAGCTCCCAAACATGGAACACACAACTCCTTCCTCTTGTTCCTAAGAACTTAAAACGGTAGTCTCAATTCTTACCACTTCCTGCCTCGCCTATGACACACCAGCAACACCAGATTGCTTATAATTCTTGACACACACCTAACACAGCTTGTTCTACATCTGGTGTTTGTTCACAGTACCCAATCTGTCAGGAACTGCCATAACCCTCACTCTTATCCTTAATCAAAGTGCAATTCAGTCACTACTTTCTCTAGGTAGCCTCTTCTAATTTCTTCAGACTAGGTTAGGCATCCTTCTGAGCTTCCATAAACCCATGTTCATGTCAATTGCTGCACTAATTATAAAATGGCTATGCTTTGGTGTTTCTCCTACCAACTAAAGTGTGAACTCCTTCAGGGAGGCAAATGTTTTACTTATCTCTGTATCCCCAGTACTTAGTACAGCATTTGCCATGTTAGGTACTCAGTATTTGTTGAAGAAAGGACTCAATGGCATTTTTATCAACATTATTAACAACTCTTCAGCCTAGTTTACTCTGAGGTAACCAAGGGTTATATAATTGTAGATAGAGTTGTAAATACAAACACATATAGTTGTTTTACTTCTCATTTATTATTGTTTGACCTCAGAAAACCAAAGGTGTAAATGCATATATATTACATATGAAGAAACAGGGATACCTCTGAGAAGTATCAGACAAGATATGATATGCAAAAAAAAAAAAAGGGGGGAAACTGTGTGGGGAGTAGGTCCATCAGCCCAAAAATAATGGCCCTACAGTGCCAGATAATGTAGTTACAGATGCAAACCTAAATATAAATTCTCTCTGCATCTGGTGAAAATGACATGCATTAGGTGGTAGGAATATGAATCAAATATCAATTGTCAGCTTGAAGAAGTTGAACATGTTTAGCTGTTATAAATCCAACCTTTACTATTATAGAATGCTGCCGCTTATCTATAATTTCTAAAATGAATATTGCTTGAATTTTAATAAAATATTGATAATCACATATATTAAAACTAGAAGCAATTTCAGAGAAAATCTGGTAAATATTTTATATATGAAAGACACCAAGGCCCAGGGAAGCTAAGTGACCTTGTTCAAGATCACACAGGTAGTTAGAATGACCAGAACTGTTTTACTGCTAAATTCAGTTTTCCTTCTGCTACATACTACCTGGAAATTTCCTTTAGAAGAAATTTCATTAATTTTCTTCTAAAATGTATTCATGAAATTTGCATCCAGTCTCAATACCATTTTAGAAGAAAATTATTAGCAAAAATAAATTTTTATTCAGATGAGATATTTCATAAACTATGCTAAAATTAGGGAAATTGCTTAAAAACAGCAAGATAATTTCTGTCGGAAAATTACTGATCATTAAAATATTTTAATTTGCATACTTTATTAGTTAACAAGGACTGACTTTGCTCTTAATCATTATTAATTGTGTCACCATTTAGAAACTTAACGAGCCAATTTATAATCTCTACAATTAACATTCATAAAACTTACAAATAACTCAATTAACTATTCCACTACAGTTACTACCGTTTTTGACTGTCTTACTCAATGAAATGAGATCATCCCCTTTGTATATAGCATCTTCTAATCATTTTTTAATATTTTATTTTACTATTATTTTTTCAAGTCAAATCAAGTCAAACAGTGGGAGTGGAGAAACAACCACTGCATTTGGGCCAGCCTAGTTTTTTAAAAAAAGCTTTATATTATAAAAACTGATTTTTAAAATTTTGATAACTGAAGAACTCTATTTTCAAAAAATTAGCAAAGGCAAAACAAACCCCTGAAAACCTACTGGCTCTGTATTTCTCTCCCAATAACCGACTGACCTATTTAAATAAAAACATTTCCTCTTGAGAGGCCCAAATGACTAAATTAGGTTAAGTGTGAGAGCTCTCATGGCTGCAATGCTATTACAGAATAGGGCTGTGGATGCAGCTTCCCTAGAATTTAAGCATGGATTAGCATATGTTAAGAGGAGTTATAAGGCTCCCCAAGTCTTACTGAGGATATTCACGTTGGGTGCTAGGTGAAAGAAGAATCAGTAAACATTTCTAGCCTGTGAGGTTAAGTGTACCTAGCTGATTTCACCATCATGAATTCACCTGAAGCCATGTCTGTAGGTTAACAATTTAAAAATTTATAAGTGCACCATAGTGAGGTATTTGCAATCTTTGGTGCTATGCCATGATATTGGTTGATGTCTGATGCTTCTACAACATAAGCATTTACTTTATTGGACATAAAGGATACCTAAGATTCAAGCAAAGTAACACTGATCAATGTGAAAATAAAAATTTAAAAGACATATCTACTAATATGTGTTTGAAAATGCTTACCCATATAAAATTTCCATTGTTATATAAAGGTTTTCATGATGTAACTCTGGCTCTTAAATTTTAAAAAGTACAGAATAAAATTCTTAATTCTAAATTTTTGACACTGCTCCTGAGGTTGCCATTAAAGTAAAAGAGAGAAACACCCCAAACTGGTCATTTATGAAACCATAAGTTCAGTGTGAAACTTGCTTTAAAACTACAAATTATGTCAGACTAAATAAATATATATGCTCACATTTGTAAAATTTTCCACATTATTCATCGAAACAAGCTTCATAAAATTTACATATGGAATACAATAAAAATCAGTTGTAATAAAGATTTAGCTATCTTCCTAAATAAAAAATTTCTGTGTTTGAGGTATCAGTTAAAGACATGCCAATATGGCACATTTGTAAAACAACCCAGGAGTCTATCTTAAAAAATCCTGACCAACATAGCATCATCTCTGCAGACTTACTTACAGGCTGAACTAGACTAATCTCTTTATACAAGAAAGAACTATTTTAATTGTTACAAAAACAAAAGAGGCAGGTACTAGAAATTCTGCATTTCATAGAACAGTGAAACTTTGTTAGAGATATTTTCATGATCATCTTCCTGCAGACACCTTTCATTTAAAAGGTCCTAGTCAAGACCAATTAAGCAGCTGCACATGAAAAAAATCCCTAGAGATTTAAAAAAAACAACAGTGAAGAACTTCACTATCTTTAAAAGATATTATAGTTCAGTATGTAAAGCTATTAAATTTCTCTGTGTCAAGAGCAAAACAGTACCCTAGGTAAGGACCTAGCTTCATCACTGGAAGGTAGACACCTGATTCAGCAATATTCATTATCTGTTAGGTAGATAACCCATGTTGACTATAGTAAAGCCATTTTACAATCAACTTTATGAAGTAATAACATTAGCCAAACACACAGAGCCACAAATCCAAACATGATGTGTTTAGTATACACGAATAGCTATACTTGGGGCATGGCTATCAAGTAACAAGACTGATTTAATACTTTATAGTCATAGCACATTAAAAATATATTGCCAGAGGGATAATGGTCCCACATACGAAAAATGTCTATGTGGAAAAAGCTGTGATTTATTGCAAAGCATAACATATAGCAAATTCCAAGGAAGGGCAAACACGTTTTAACAACAAATTTTTAAATTTAATGGCTTAAGCCAAAGTTTCAGTTACTTTCTGGAGAATTCAGAACTATTAGGGGTAGAAGAATGCTTTTCCTTTTTTCTCTTCTTTTTTTCCTTTTTGTGATGTTTCCCTTTTTTTGATTTACTCTTTTTTTCTTTTTTCTTTTCTTTCTTCTGATATTTTTGTTTCTTTTGTTTTGAAGTATCTTCTTCAGTGGAATTGGATGAGTAAGACCTATGGATAATAATACACACAGACTGAGAATTGCACTTATGACTGATAGATAAATTTAAGTGGGATTTGAACTGCCTTAAATTCTTCTTGGAGTAAGGTACAGAGTATAAAGATAAACTTAAAATATGCTTCATATATTTGCATTGCCTTAAAATGCTGAATTTAGAATTTTTGTTGCTTGGTCATAGAAGCTGACAACACTAGTATCTCGATTCCACTCAATTCTAGTAATGAGTTTTAAATTCAGTAAGGATGAAATTATATTTCTGTGATTTTTGGCTTTTTATGCAGTCATAACATTCAAAATCTTAAAAGGCAAACAAAGTAGCATGCACCAAGCCTTATTATATTCACTTGTGTATATAATAACATAGCATATTCTCTTAAAAGTGCCTCAAAAGTTGCAATTCTCTATTTTAAAAGGGCTCTAATTGTACCTTCATATGAATGAATGAAAGCTGAGAGTCAGCAAAATAAAAGCACTTTTGGTAATTATTCTGATTTTTTAAGTACTTGGTCCCTCTAGATGCAGAGTGACACAGATGAATACTTGCATTACAAAATAATTTTCATTAGTTACAAAAGGATGCTTTTATATCCTATATATAAATGAAAAAGGATGAGTTATCATTATGCTTTTGAAAAATATTACTCTAACATGAATTGGAAAAATTGGTTGGATTCCTTCCTCTAATACTAAAAAAAAGAAAAAGAAAAAGAAAAACAGAAAAACTATTTTTTAAGATCTTAAAGAGATGTGCAACATTCTACTTATACCCAAACTCAAAATATGAGTGACAAAACAGAAATTAATTTAAAATGTAAAAAAAGGTATCTGAAGAGTTAGTTCAGTGATCTAAATATTAGGAGTTAAAACTCAAACTAAGAAAACCTGAGACGGACATAAAGGAGGTACCAATGTAAATTTCAGGAGACTACAGGGCTCCAAGTCTATCCTGTGTCTGTATAGTGGCTTGTGTGACTTTTTTGACTGCCTTCCTCCTTTAGTGACTCCAAGGTTTCCCCTGTTTTTGTAAAGTTGTGTTCCTTTTTCCTCCTTGTTTGTCTACTTACTTAGACTTCTGACCATCTGCTAAAGCTTATTTTCTCATATATTCTCCTTCTCCCCTGCCTCTTAAAATTCTGTTATTCTCAAATTTTGTCTACTAAAGACCCTGCTTGACTTGACCTCTGGATTCTGACTAAAGCTTCTTCTCTGCCTGCACTTTTTTCTTTGTTGGTTTTTTTTTTTTTTTTTTTGGTTCTGGAGTCTCATTTTTAACGCAAAATTTTAGACTGTGGCATAGTGACACTTTCAGGTGGTACTACCTCTGCTAAGGGTGCATAGAAAAGTTAATTGATCTTAAGGTTTGTGATACTCAAGGTAAAGAGGCCCAAGTAAGTAATCTGTTACTATAAAAGAAGTATACAGATATACCTCAACTTACAATGGGGTTACAGCCCAATAAATCTATCTTAAGCTAAAAATACACAAAATACACCTAACCTACTGAACATCATAGCTTGACCTGGCCAACTTTAAACATGCTCAGAACACTTACATTAGCCTCTAATTGGGCAAAATCATATAACACAAAGCCTATTTTATAATAAAGCATTGACTAGCTCATGCAATTTATTGAATACTATCCTGAAAGTGAAAAACAGAATGGCTATACGGGCACTTGAAGTACATTTCTACTACACAATCATAAAGTTGAAAGATCATATCGAACCACATAAATTAAGAACTATCTGTATTAGAATTTGGAAGACTATTAGATAACCTCATGTTTCCTATAAGCAATCCATCTTGCTGTGCTAGAACAAATGATTTAATAATATGTTAACAAAATCCTGAGCTCTACATTCCTGTTTTTATATTAACGATTATTAGTTAACTCCTGACACTTGAAAGTGAGCAACTTTAACTTTTCCAATTTATAAGATACCTGAAATAGTAAAATACATGTATTAAATGCTCTATAAAAACTACAAAGTGACAGTCCCTGGTTTCTAGAACCTATTCTGTATGAGAACTTTGTCTAAACTAGAAATAATTATGGTGAAGAGCTTTAAAAAAAGCCTGTATGTGCAAATTTATGCTAGTATGAATGAAACTGCATTCACTAACAAGAGAAGTAGCCACTTACTACTTTTAATAATTTCTTTAACCAGTTAGTTATTAAAAGAGTTAATAGTAAAAGTACACAGGTGGCTGAAGACCTGAAGGAACTTGGGATGCTAAAAATTCCTTTAGGTCTTTCACAAGCCTCATCAGCCACCATATATATATTATATATATATATATATATATATATATATATATATCTCACACATATATGTATATCACATATATATATGATATACATATATATGACATATATATATGCCACATATGCACATATCGCATATATATACCACATATATATGTCACACATATATATCACATATGTCACATATATATATCAAATATGAACTTGTCCTGCTATGTATATATAAATGTAAATATGTGTATATGTATGTGTGTATGTGCATACACACACACACACACACACACACACACACACACATAAAAATAAATAAATAAATAAATATATTTTGGGGGGTCTTGCTGTGTTGCCCAGGCTGGAGTATAGTGGTGTGATCACATCTCCTGGGCTCAAGCAATCCTCCCACCTCAGCCTCCCACGCAGCTGGGATCACACATACATGGCACCACACTTGGATAATTTTTCTTTTCTTTTTGCAGAGATAAGATCTCACTATGTTGCCCAAGCCTGTCTCAAACTCCTGGGCTCAAGCCATCCTCCCACTTTGACCTCTCAAAGTGCTGGGACTAAAGGCATGAGCCATCACACCTGCACAGCATGACAAGTTCTATTACATTCTATTAATAATTTATTAGCCATGGTAATATTACAAGAATACAAATATTTTTGTCAACTTCATGTATATGAGGACAAAATATATATTAAGAGTTTAAACTTAAGTCCAATTGAAAGTTTAGGTATTGATGAAAAAATATTAAATTAAGCACATTACACACTTACACACACACACACACACACACACACACACATTTTACAATCCATCCTAAACTCAGTCTTGCTTTACTGTTTTTAAAAATGCTGTTAAAAAATACCTTTTCCTTTTTTTTTTCAACTTGATTTTTTCTTTGCTTTTTTCTTTTTTCTTTTCCTCTTCTTCATTTATTCCTGTGGGGGAGAGGTGAGAGACAAACATCAGGTCATTATGAGTCTATACATCAATATGGTATGTATATATGTTAAACTTTTAGCTGTTGGTGAATTTCACTGGCTAGGATATTATACTTCTTTTGCAATAATTTTCTCCTTTCTTATTTGTATCCATTAAAAACCTCATAAAAGTGTTAAACGTTTTTTGTGAACATTTCCAATACTAAGTGCATCAAGTTAAAAAATTTAAGTACCCCACTTCGAATACCCAGAGGAAATCAATGCCAGTGGTTTGATGGGTATCATTCAGGCCTTCAAAGGCAGAAGACTACAACAGTGCACAGTTTTAAAATTTTCTTTTGCAACAAAATTAGCATCATGTAATACGTATTATTCTCTAACTTGTTTTTTAAATGCACTATTTGGTGTTTATTCTTCTAGGCATTCTTTACATGAAACCAAATTTACTCATATACACAGTTGCATATAAGTTCCAAGTATTGTTTTGCCTTTGAAAAAATGTACTGTCCCATATATTTTGCAGCTAATTTTTTTTCACTTAACATACCAGATATCTACCTTTGTCATTAAACATATATCAGTATCATTATTAAACACAGAATAGTGGTCCCATGAACCATAGTTTATCAATTTCTACTCTCATTTTTAGAAACAATAAGCAGTGGAAATCCTTGTACTTATACCTTCATACATATAAGAAGTATTTCTGGGTGACAGAACTTGTTTACATATATTTTTTTAAAAATTAATTCATTTTACTTTAATAGAAGAAAATTAAAATACAGTTCAAGAAATAGCTTTCCTACAAGAAAGATTATTTCCTAAAGAGCTCTCTAAAGAAAAAAGACTATAAAAAATTAAGAGTTTGGAGCTTTTTTTTAACATTATATTTCAAATTTACACAGTATCAATTCACTCCCTGCTCTATATAAAAGATGACAAAATTAGCCTTTGCATTTTTCACTTCTTAACACTAAACCTCCCAATTTTTAGGCTTAATTATTTTTCTATTTTCAAGGTTGTAAACATTTTAATATATCTGTGTATACTCCAAATTTACAAATTTTCTAATTATAAAAGCAATGTACATTCAAGGTAGAGACTCAGTAGGTTACAGAATTAAAAGTATAGATAAGAGAATTAAGTTTTGCTATTTGGACTGCCTTTTAGTAGCCAGGAAGCCTTGGGGTTATTTGGCAAGGTACAGAATAGAGATCAATTTGTCTCATAAAATCCTAGGAGATTTTACTGACCACACTTTCATTCATTTAACAAATATTTACTAAATGCTTATGTGTCAGGTACTGTGTGCTACGTACTGGGTCTTTGCTGTCCATGATCCTTGCCCACAGGGAACTTACAGTTAAGTGATGAGAAAGAAAATGAACAGGCAAAGATCACAATCTAAGTGAAGAGCAAGGATAGTACATGTCAAGAAGAGGAAATCGGTGCCAAAGGTCCAAAGCAAGAAGAGTTTGGTGTGTTCCAGAAACTAAAAAGAAGTTGTTGTGGATTTCAGAAGGGGAGAGGCAACTGTGAATAAGAATGAATATGAACGAGAACAGATGAACAATATCATAAATACATGGAGAACATCTTGAAATGAGACACCAGAGAGGTAAGCAGGAACTTACTTCTTCAAGACCATGAAGGCAACAGTAAGGATTTTATATTCTAAGTGAGATGGACTGTGTGATCAGCAGATTTACATGGCAAATGAACTGGAAAGGGCTAAGGGGAAAAGGCAAGGGAATAATAAAGTAACCGGAGTAATCCAGGGCAGAGATAGCGGTATCCTGAATAAAGGCAGTGGAGGTGGGATGTGTGTGGGAAGGATGATGGAACAAAAGGACTCAAGGATAACCTCCAAGTTTTTAGCAGTGCCACTGATTAAAATGTGGATTGGTGGGGAGTGAGCTGGAGACTGGAGGACAATTGGGGGTGGGGAGTAAAGACTTCAATTTTAGACAAATGAGATCTAAAAGACCTGTTTGACATCCAAGTGGGTAACTGAAGGAGGCAGTTTGGTATGTAATTCTGAAGTTTAGAGAGAAGTCTGGACACACACTGATCAGCTTATAGACAGTATTTTAAACTATGGGGATTAAATGGAATCATTTATTAAAAGAATGATGAGAAAAAAAAAATACAGGGAGTAAAGCCCAGGAAGATCATTTTCATCTTGAGGGATTCCAATATTTACAGGCTGAGAAGAGCAAGAAGAGGAGCTATCAAAAAGACTGAGAAAGAAGGGCCACAGGGTTGGAAGAATACCAGGAGAACCAAGAAGTAGGAGTGTTAAAGAAGAAAAGGGCCACCTAGCAAGTAGTATCTAAAGGCCAAGTAGAATGTGGATATAAAAATATCAAATAGATTTGCCAAAAAGTAATTAAAGACCTTGACAAGTGGACTGAAAAATAAATGGAAATAAAAATGCAGAGACAGTAAGAATACCTTTTATGATAAGTTTAGCTAGGAAGCAGCAGAGAAATGGGCTGTTAGCTAGAGGGATGCAAAGAATCTAGGGGAGAAAGATGAGAAAAACGAGAAAAAAAAATTTATGCTTTTGAAATGATACAAAGAGGGGATAACTGAAGGAGCAAAGTTCTTTAAAAAAAGAGAATTCTTAGCAATTATAGTAGAACACACCTTTAAAAGAAGAGACAGTCCTTCCACTTTAACTGAAGGAAAGAAAAGAAAGATGGACATATATGCAAATTTGTGGATTCAGTGATTAGAAGCTGAGATGCTCTCATTTAGTGTCTTCTATTTTGTCAATGAAAGAGGGAGTCATTAGCTGAAGGAGGAATGGAGAAGTGGAAAGTTTGAAGACTGGGGGAAAGGTATAAAATAAGTATGGGGAGTGAACTTGGCAAACATAAATACAAGCTGAGTTTAGGGATCACAAATTTATAGAAACACAAGTCTGCCTCTTCACATTTACACTGCTGTAAGGGGATCAGCATGGATAAGGCAAAGAGAGGTTCATCCATATTTGGGGTTTTGCTAGATAAAAGATAAAGAAAGGGGTAAGGGAGTTAAAGATATTTGCAAAAGAATAACTGTGATAATGTATGATGGAATCTAAGCTAGATAAGGGGAAGACTAACTAGTAAAGAGCCTGAGGGTCTTTACATTAAATAAACTGAAAAGATAAGAACTAGGAGTAAAAGCATAAAGTGTATGACACTAATTTTGGATTCTGAAAACAAAGTTCAGGGTGCAATCATGGAAATGTGTGGCTGAGGTGAAGGGACAAAAGATAATTTTCAATGATAAGGTCAAGAAGATGAGGCAGGATGTTGGCAGGTCATTCACAGGTCATTTAAGAAAGTCTCTAAGAACAGTGAGAGGACTTGAGATGAAAAATAAAACAGTTCAGAGTTTGAGGCTGGAGGACTGCTTGAAGCCCAGAGTCTGAAACCAGCCTGGTCAACATAGTAACACCACATCTTTACAAAAGAAAACAATATCTGCCAAGCATGGTGGCACATGCCTGTAGTCTCAGCTACAGTGGAGGCTGAGGCAGAGGATTGCTTGAGCCCAGGAGTTTGAGGCTGCAGTGATTCATGAAGCCATGATTGCATTATTGTACTTCAGCCTAGACAACAGAGTGAGACCTTGTCTCAAAAAAAAAAAAAGACAGAGGTCTTCAAATAATCGTGAGGAATAGCTTGAAGTAAATATATGAAGATAATAAAAATGGGAAGAAGCAGGAAGCTAAATGACAGGAGCCTCAAAAGGGCATTTTGCTAAGATAATACATTGATGACCTCTTGAACATATAAAAACCATGAGTTACTCAAGAAAATCAGTGAGAAGTATGTAGTTTAAACAACTAAAAATGTAATCAAGAAAAGGCGGGGGAGAGGGGGAAGGCCAGATCAAATATAAAATGTATTAAGGAGGAAAGCAGTCTTGAAATTCAAAGGACTATTTTTAATGCCTTCTCACTCTCAGTTACTTCTCTTTCTTTCTGGGTGTGGCACTGGCCACTTCTTTCTTGAGTGCTATCAGCTAAGGTGTCAATGGTTGGGACAGTAAGTGGAAAAAAATGATAAAAAGCAAAGTGAAGAAAAACAGGATGGGGGAAATAAAGCATTTTTTAAAAACCACATCAAATGATAATGTACATTTGAAGACTCAGAAATTGTACAAATAAGTACTATAGATTACTAATCTCTATTTCTAGTGTCTAGGATTTTGTCAGTTATGCCAGCAGCTTTTTAGAAGACTAGTCAATGCCATTTGTCCTGAAAAACTTCTCTCCATTATGAGAGAAGTACTAAAACAATGCAAGTGATGAAATGCTGGGAGAGATTCTATACTTACGCATAAAAAAAATATATATGATTTTTGAAGCTCACTTATTTCAAACATGAAATACTTGGGAATGATAAAACACAATGTCAGCACAGGTTCCTATTTGCAAATGACATGACAATTTACACAGATATTCCTAAGGGGTCTACAAAAATCTAGAATTAGTGAGTTCAGCAAGAGGCAAAAATAAACATACAATAACCAATTTATATTTATTAGCAACAAACATGCAGAGAACAAAATTAAAGATACAATATCATTTATAATTTTACAAAAAAACGTTTATAAAACATGTATAGGACTTATATGCTGAAGACTACACAGTGCTGATGAAAGAAATCCAAGTTCTAAATAAACAAAGAGACATACCAGAACAACAAAGTAATGATGTCTATTCTCCCCAAACTGACATACAAGTTTAATGCAATTCCTTTTCAAAATCCTAGCAAGGCTTTCTGTAAATATAAATGTGAGTCTAAAATTTTTTTTTTTTTTTTTTTTTGAGACGGAGTTTCGCTCTTGTTACCCAGGCTGGAGTGCAATGGCACGATCTCGGCTCACCGCAACCTCCGCCTCCTGGGTTCAGGCAATTCTCCTGCCTCAGCCTCCTGAGTAGCTGGGATTACAGGCACGCGCCACCATGCCCAGCTAATTTTTGTATTTTTAGTAGAGAC